GAAAGCCCAACAAAGACTCTACTTCCTAAGAAGACTAAAGAAGTTTGGTACAAACACCAGCATCCTCACCAACATTTATAGGTGCACCATTGAGAGCCTGCTGACAGGCTGCATCACAGGGTGGTACATGAACTGCACCAGTCAGAGCCAGAAAGCTCTACAGAGGGTGGTGCAAACAGCAGAAGACATCGCTGGTAGCAGTCTCCACACCATCCAGGACATCTACTGTACCACAGCCGATGTCTGTGTAAAGCAGCATCATTAAGGACCACACCCACCCAGCACAAGGACTCTTCCGTCTACTACCCTCAGGCAGATGATACAGAACTTTGCCATCGTGTACTAAAAGACTCAAAGACAGTTATTATCCACAAGCTGTCAGATTACTGAACTCTCAATAAATAACACTGAACAACTGGCAATAACTTTGTACCAAGCCACATCTGTGACAACTAATGTGACTAATATTAGCTTGTGATACCTAATATTGTTATTGCATTATGTGGCTGTATCATGTATGTACCTACCTTACCATCATAATTCATCTCAAAGTTACTACCTGTGCAATAAACTGTCACACAACCTGTGTAGTTTATGTTAGTTATGTGCAGTATACATCATGTGAATTTAAGCTTATATTACTACCTTGAAATACTTATTCATACAAATTCATCCTACTTGCACTGTTATATTCTACCATGTTGTTGTTTACTATTTTTTCTTTAGGACCTTGTAAATTATGTATTTACTTTTTCACTTTTTGGTACTTTATGTTGTACTCTTATTGAATGCTTTAGTATTTCTTGTTTGTTTGTTTATTTGTTTTAGCGAGTCAAACCAGTTTTTCTCCTGAATATTTTATTGTACTGTGAACCTTGTGTTAACCTGCATAAGACAAATAAACATAACTTGAATTAAGCATTAATCTTTAATTTAACCATTAAGCATACAATGTCATTATGACAGAAAATGGAGGATTTACCTGCAGTTACTCGTAGAGATGAACATGTGGTAGCTACTTCCTGTTTACAACTTGTGATCAGCTGATGGGGTCGGTCCCCGGAGATTTTCCAAACTTCGTTTAATTTTTGATAAAGAATAAACTGTTTCCTACTCTCTAAACGCTCAGGGTAAGGTGTCTGGATTGCCTGTTCCCCACTGACACCGTTTAACCATTTTTTTCTGGTGATTTTTCACAGAACTCTGACTGTAAACCCTGTAACCTCAGATCTGCACGTAAGGGGCGTTTACCTTGGGGACAAATTAAGGTTACTGATTGGTCATTTGCTGACACGCCTACTGGATTGATTGACAGGTTGCGCAGCGGAGCCAACTTGTGGGGAAAAAGAAAAAACCCAGAGCTGCAGCCCTGCGGTGGAGGTGGGGTAGCCCAGGAGCAGAGGTAGCGTGTTCTGTGTTTTTATGTTGTTAATAAAAAGTTCAAAAACATTTTAAAACAGGGAGCAAATCCGACCGGCCCACCGGGAAATCTCCAGGCCGTCCTGATTGGCCACTCCGGGCCTGATTCTGCATTATTCAGACACGGACCCTGCTCTGACATGTCTGCTTTGGGATCTCACCTGTTTGGGTCGTCGTAGGTTGCGCGCGCCCGCTGAGTGCAGTAGCTGAATGTCCATTTGGGTGATTGATCGCTTCCTGGTAGTACAGTCCCATGTGAAGCTTAACTGAACTTTATTTTACCTCTTTCAAGGCCGGTCAGCTCGCCGTGAAATGGCAGTGTGCAGTTGGTGATGGTATGGCAAGCCATGTTGCCATATAATTGGCTCACGGCTGATCTGCTGACGTAATCAAAAGCCCGACACTGACCCGGTTCGCCCATCCAGCACATTATCATGGCCTGGCCCCAATTTGGGCCATGCTTCGGGCCCGGGTTAGAAATGACAGCTCTACCGGGGAGGACCTCTGAGGCACTCTGTTATAACCTCACTCGGGCTGAATGCTCTGAAGCTGTAGGTTAACCTCCACAAACACAAGTCGATCACTTTAACTACCTGCAGCTGTTTTGACAAAAAGATCTAAAGCTTTCAGTTCCATAGTCAAAAGGTTTCTTCAGCTCTGATTCTGTCCCATAATGTGCAAATACTTCCTCAATCAAATCAAACCTTTTATTTATAAAGTTTTTCCTAAAGTGCAGAGAAACTAACCAATTATTTCAAATATGAACTCTTTAATGAACATTTCTGAAACTCCAGCAAAATGTGAGGATCTCACATTATTATTCATCAACTTGTTTGTTCTGATGGAGCCGAGCTGCACAAGCCTTCTTTTTAAAAACACATTTCAGTCTAACTGCAACTTCTTAGTGGCTCACCTAAAAATAAGGCTTAAGAGTATATTCAAGAATACAAAATTAGTTTATAAGAAATTCATCCAAATTAATATTAATAAAAAAACAACTTATGGTCAGGAAGAATTTTTGCCTACATTTAATGGATTGGGTGAATAAATTAAAATATATCCTTGAATAAAAATTGATTGTAGTTAATTCTAATTCTCGAACATGTTCCGAGGGAGGTGGGGGACATTGAGTCTGAGTGGACCATGTTTCGTGCCTCTACTATCGAGGCGGCTTACAGGAGCTGCGGCCGCAAGGTTGTTGGCGCCTGTCGCGGCTGTCACAGGGGACAGGTGTCAACACAGAGGACAGGTGTCAACACAGAGGACAGGTGTCAACACAGAGGACAGGTGTCAACACAGAAGACAGGTGTCAACACAGAGGACAGGTGTCACCACAGAGGACAGGTGTCAACACA